TAAGTAAATTCCTTATCCCCAAATTCAAAGACCTTCACAATCAGAACCTTCCAAAATTTCCTATCTAAGTGCTCTGGAAGAGGTAAGGGGATCTGTAAAATAAACTTTGAATAGACCTTCCAACTTCCTGGTTTGCATAAATTCATTCAAATACATTCTGAATGTTCTCTGAGGGCCACGCACTGTTCTAGGTGCTGATGGTATAGAAGGGAACAAATCAAAGTCCCTGCTTCAAAGTTATTCTCTTGACTGGAGAGTCTTCAGTGGAGAGTTGTTAAAGGTAAGGGGACAAACCCCCAAGCACTTCTAGCTCTCCGCTGGTTGGGGGAATGATAAAGACACCAGGGATCTGAAGCACCAACATTGTCTGCGGCAGGCTCTAATCTATTTTTGCAGCCTTATTTCCAATTCCTATCCTACTTGTACCCTCAGCTCAGCCAAAATATGCTAGTGACTGTTAATGTGCCTCTGCTCTGGCCTGCTTCTTTCTTAATGCCTTGCTTTCCACTATGTCTTCACCAGCAAATGCCTAACCAGACTTCAAAGCCCATCCCAAATGTTGCCTCCTATAGGAGGCCTTTTCCCATTCACTTCACATGACTCCAGATGTGATATCGTGGAGGCCTTCAAGCCATATAACCCTTGGCTTTGTTCCCTCTGAGCATCTGTCACACTATAAATTGTATCATAATTATCTGTATAGATTAACCTCATCAGCTCTTTACTGAACACTTGCTACACCCCAGGAGCTAGAACTGCAGTGTTAAATTATTCCACTTATATTTTTAAATGCTTACTATCCAAATGATAAAAATAAAATGTAAAGACAATATATTATGTAAGCTTTTTATTACTTCAATCTTTTAAGTTTTGTTGATATGATCTACATATCATAGTTCACCCAAAGAATAGAATTCAACATTTAGGTTATTTACTGAGTTGTGCAACCATTATCATTATTCTAATTTTAGGACATTTCAAAAACTCTAACAAGAAACCTTTGTCTCCACTAGCAGTCACTCCAAGCTATGCCCCTGTAACCACTGCCCCTTCACCTCCCAATCCTAGGCAACCATAATCTATCCTCTTTCTCTCATAGATTTGCCCATTATGTACAGTTAATATAAACGGAATCATACAAAATGTGGTCTTTTGAGTTGGCTTCTTCTGCTTAGCATAACCATCTTGAAACTGATCTGTATTATGTTACGTATTGGCTCATTCCCTTTTATTGCCAAATAACATTTGATTGTATAGATACATCTTATTCATTCAGTTGATAGGCATTTGCACTTCTACTTTCTGCTTATGAATAATGTTGCTATAAACACGTGTACAAGTTTTTGTCCAGGCAGGTTTTAATTTCTCTTGGGTAGATACCTATGAATGGAAAGGCTGGCTAAGGTAAGTCCATGTTTAACATTTTGAGGGAACTGCCATCCTGTTTTCCAGACTGCATACCATTTTACAGTCTACCAGCATTGCATGAGGGTTCCAACTACTTCACTATTGTTTGAATCTTAAAGAGCAAGAATGATTTCACTATTCAGTATCCTTACCCTCCAGGAGTTTATACTCCAGTGGGAAAAAAGGTAAGAAACAGAAACAAGTGAATATGTTAATTTCAGGTACTAAGAAAAAGGAGAAAACAAAAGAATAAAATAACCAAAAGAAAAGGCTGATCAGAAAGACCTCACTGATGTTGACTGAAATATGAAGAGCTGGAGGGGAAATATTCGAGGTAGTGGAAACACCAAGAAATAAAAGTGGGAAAACAAGTTTGGTATGTTCAAGGAACAAAAAGGAAGCCAGTGTGGCTGATATATAATGAAGAGGCAGAGAAGGGAGGAGATGAATTTGGGGAGGTAAATAGAGGCCAGATAATATTCAACCATGGCAAAGTCCTTGGATTTTAAATACCACCATTTTTTTAATCCCTTATATTTCTTTAAATGTAGGTATTCATCTGTGTAAACATTTATTGAATGGTCATATAGCTTATGATTGTGCCTAAGAGCAGCAAATCTTAGAGACTACTTGGGCAAATACATACCACTCAATTAGTATCACTTTACTCTGGCTCATGAGGGGACACCTAAAACATGACTATCAGTGCCTTTTTAGTAACAAGGTACAAACATATGAATGAAGCCTTACAAACTTATCACTGACCCTTAACCAATTTAAGGTGTATGCCTTATTGATAGCAGCTAGCAGCTCAGTCTTAGAATATTAAGGTCATTTTCAATAAAGCATGCTAGTAAGAATATAGTTGTAGATAATGCTCATGATTTAAACCTAGATTTCATTCTTTCAAATTGAATTGATTGTTTTTCTCATTCTATTAATTAAAAATTACTATTCAACTGGTGAACATAAAATACGGGCACAAGTCTCTACATTGCTTAAGGTTTTTAACAGAGTAAAGTTTCACATATTACTGCTATATTTGTTTTTTCAAAGGAGAAAGTGTTTTGAAAACTCTAGTTACATAAATGGTACTCCTTTGATAAAAGAACCCGTTATCTAGTCAAAATTTATTAAGGTGAAATTCTCTTCTACCATCCCAGCTTGGTCTCCCATGCCTCTTCCTCCAGACACTGTGTTCAGACAGTATGCCAGCTTCATACTGTTGACTCCGCTTCCCCCTCTAGCCCCCCACCCACCCTCCACTCCCCTCAGCTTTAAGATACACATTCTCCACTTGGAGAAATCCAACCAGTTCTTCAAGCTTCAAGGCAAACACTCTCCCCTCTACCTCTCTTTGCCAGGTCTCAGGAGTAGAAGTGATGTTCTGTAACTCTGATATTGCCTTACCCTGTTTGGCCTGGTACACAATATAGGAGTCTGAGAAATACTGTCACCAAACTACTCCCTTCAGCTAACCTTTAAGTATACAAAAAGCAAAGCTATTTGCAATTCCTGGGTGCTCAGTTGAAAATCATATCCATTTTAGCACCTTGGTACTGTATGATACCAAGTCAACACAAAATGCAAGGTCAAGAACAATTAAGCCCTCTCCAGAGACAAGGCAGAGGAATCTTTCCCTCCTTCCAAATTCCGACTGAGTTTTTTAGTAAATGGTTTCTCAATAATGACACAATCCTACTCTTCATTTAAATGAAACTTACCCCACGTAAATAAAACGTTTCCACTTGCATTACCTATTCAAGAATTGCTCAATTCTTGCAACTCTATCCGAAGTTTCTGAATGATATGTATGATCAAGAGTTTAGGCTGTAAACACTGCGCACAGAGAAGGTGGAAGATTCACCCAAGGTCAATCCCGAGCTAATCGCAGGAGCGAAAATACAATTCCATTCAGTACTGTGTCCACAACCTACTAACACGATCCTGAACATCAGGAACTTTCAAAAGCGTGCGACGGTGCTTGTAAATATTCAAAGATTTCAGCTAACCAAGTGATAAAATATTTTTAATTACGGAAGTTTACTTACAATATAAAAGTGATTCATCCTTAATCATGCGGATCACGTTAACAGATTATTTCAAAACTCACTGTGCAGTTAAAATATAAAAGTTTGGAAATGCGCACACTAACCACCACTTCTGCTCTTGTCAATGGCACTGGCCAGAAACCCATCCATAAGAGCCACTTCTTCCTTCTCCAATTGTTCCCAGAGGCCCAATGGACTAAACATTATAGCTCACCCCATCTTCTAATTTCAGCTTGCATTTAAGATAACGCTTTTGTTTCATTTACAGCTCACATGCTGCTGACACAGCTGCCCCTTCTTTGTAATAAACACAGGGCTTCTATATTTAAAAATACAGTGAAACTTTGTTATAACATCCCCTCCCCAGTCTCCAGCCAATTTTCTCTCTTCCAAGCCCCACCTCCACCCCAAGATTCTTCTATCGGCGGCGCTCAAAACGTTAGACCCTTTGGAAAGTTCAATTTCTTCCCTAAAGACATCTCATCATAGTGGTATTTTTCTTCTTCGCAGCACGTGCGCGCGCGTCTGTGTGCGCGCTTTAAAGTGGGGCGGGAGGGTTGGGGGTGGAGGGGGGATTCCCTTCCCCGGAGGCCTTCCCAGGCAGTGGCACTCAAGTGTGTGGCTCCGGAGTCCCCGGGACTTTTGTGCGCAGAAACCAGAGCCCCCGAGGTCAGGCTGGGCGGAGCTGGCCGGCGGGCTCGGCCGCTGCGGGACAGCCGGGTGGACACGCGGCCGATCGGGCGGTGACGGCACCTACGCGGACAGGAAAGCGCGCCCGAAGGCACCGAGGCTCGCCAGACCGCCACGCCGCCGCGCGTCCCGCTACAGGCGGCTTTGTGCCGGGGGCCGGCGAGGGGGTGGGGTCCCCGTAAACAGCAGGCGGAAAGAGACCGGGACTCCAAACCGGGTGCGGACTCCCAGCGCGGAGGGCAGTGGGTGAACACGCCCCGCGTCACTTGGGACGGTCGGAAAACTACGGCCGCGGAGGGTGTGGGCCCGGGGGAGGAGGGGGGGGGCGGGGGGCGCTGGGAGGAGATAAGACTAGGCCGGAGTTAATCATCACCTCCCGAGCGTCTGGAAGAGGACGACTCGGGGCGGAGGAGCAGGAGGGCAGCCCCTGGAAAGTGAAACTCTGCTGGCAGAGGAGGGAGGCGAGGGACCCAAGCGCACTCGCTCCTCTAGTCTGCCCGGCGTAGCACTAATGTTCGTTTTTCAAAAACTCATCAGAAGGAGACAAGTAGAGAGCCAGAATATGGGAAACAAAATAAGTTCCTCTCCCATTCGGTCTTTAAAAAGATCACTTCGTTCCCATACCGGGAGTCGAACCCGGGCCGCCTGGGTGAAAACCAGGAATCCTAACCGCTAGACCATATGGGAAGTACTGATAGCAGCGCTGCCGTGACTCACCTGACAAGTGCACGCGCCCACACTGCCTCCGCTCTGCTTCCTCACGCCGCTGTTCACCCCGTCGCCTCTGCGCCACTCGAGCCGCCGAGCCGCCGCGGATGCCCACGCGCTCCCGGAGCGAAGGAACTAGCCCGCCCGTGTGCGCGGGCGTCGCGGGGGCGGGGCGGGGCCACTCCGCCGCCTCCGGAAAGTTCTGAGGCAAAGCCCAGCAACTCGCGGCCCGACACCAGCTGTTTCACCTTTCTTTTTCTAACTCCGCCAACGGCCCCCAGCCTACAGGTCCGGGTTGCTTCGCTGGTCAAAGTGCGTGCGGACTAGTTGGCAAAGTTGAGGGCGGCGACGTCTCGGGGAACAGCTGTTTGCGTTGGGGCGGAGGCAGCGCGCGAGCTCCTCGGCCACGAGCCAGCGAGCCTAGAAGGGTGGAGGTTCTGGATCCCAGGGGAAGAGAGAGAGTGAAGGCGGGATGATGCGGGGACTTGAGGCGTGAAGTTCTTGTCCTTCGGCTGAGGTCCCGTCGCGCTTTCACCCCTTCTGGGTGACCTCAACCTCTTTATACCGACCCCACCTCTCAGGATCCCAGAGTACCGCCCCGTAGGGGGAGGGGAAGAGGAGGAGATTTCGAACGCGGATTGAGACGCTTGGGCATCCGTAGTTGGGAACCGTGGAACCCTGGTCCCGGGGAAAGAGGGAGGTGTTCGGGTTTGGAGGCTCCGGTGGGCCTCGCGACGGGCTGGGTCCCAACTCGCCCCGCGTGGGGAACACGAGCTCGAGCCGGACCCCGGGGCGACGCACGGAGCGGCTGGTCCAGTCATGTGAGTCGGGTCTCAGGCTCTAAACAACGAGGTGTTGTTTCCCAGGGCGGCCCTTTCTCTGCCGGTTCTCGCCCTCCACCACCCGCCCCCCCACCTCTTTTCGGCTGGAGGCGTGACGAAGGTGCTCTTAACTCGCTCGGGACCGGCCGCAGAGAGGCAGGGCCGGTTTTCAGGGCGTTTAGAAATGCTGTCCTTCGGGGCGCCCTGGGGGCCCGAAGCTCGGGCTTCGGGAGGGAGGTTGGCGGCCAGTTGAGGTTGGACTGCTGCCCGCGAAGCAGCCGGGAGCTCCCTCACTTGCACAATTGGGGGGTAGCAAGCACTCTATTCGCTTCTGTAGCGCTTGAATCCTGGGGTATTGTGAAACTTTAGGGTTGGACTTAGGCCACCTCCGCCTTCACCGACTGGTAGAAACGGCGAGTCTTGTTAGCATAGTGACATCCCCCCCAGCTCCCCCAAGCCTTGCAGGCTAAGAGGTCCCTTGGCTTTTCCAACTCTTCTCTTGCCCCAAGTCTCAAGAACAAATTGTATAAACTGATAGTCTCGGAGGAACCAGTCTCCCTCCAAAAGAGTCTTGTTCTTTGTTCCTTTGATGGAACTAACTTGATTTAAAGCAAACTTTGAGCTTCTTCAGGCCTCCATTACGGCAATCTCCCAAAATGCCAGAAAGGCATAGAGAAGATAAATCTTTTCCAGGATGTTTCTTATTTCTTCACACTGGTGATAGTGGCAAATGAGAAAAAAAAATTTTTTTAAGCACTTTTATTAAAGGAAGTTTCAAATCCGGTGCAGACTTCTTTTCTAGTGGCAACAATTTCAGATAACTGCTGCAGTGAGTTAAATAATAAAGGTAATGTGTATAATAAGACAGGATTCAGTAACAGGGTGTTATATTTCAGACTCTAAGAAGATAAAAAACATGCACAATTTTGCCTTTTTAATTATAAATAAGTTTAGACTTGTTTTTCCCTTTTTCAGGGCAGACTACTGGAAGTCGCAACCAAAGAAATTCTGTGATTACTGCAAATGTTGGATAGCGGACAATAGGCCTGTATGATAATTCCACTATAAGAGAGTTTAATGATATTGTATTCCAGTGTTTCTTTTTGATCTAAACAGTATTTATGAAGCACCTTCAAATACATTGCTCTTGATTTTTCAAAACATTGAAATATTTCTGTTGTCTTTTCATTTCTTGTACAAAAGTGGTGAGCCTTCTTCCTTTTCATCGGGTTAAATTTGATTATATGTTAAGACAAATTATTTCTCTATGTTCCTTTAGTCACATTCAGAAAATGGATGTTGAGTGGGTCATCTCATCCATGTTTATCCACATTATGATGTTGTTTAATACTACCATATAAAAAATATTAAAGGCCAAAGCCCTTAATATATAAAAAGGAACATTATTGTAGTTTATCTTGTATCTTTTCAACTCCAGAAAAATAAATTAAACATTTTGCAAAGCTTTGTAGCTATAAATGGTTTCATTTTAAAGAACATCATTACCTGTTTCATGGACTATGAAAATAGCAGCTCTGTTAAGCATCTTATTACTGTATCTCAATCTAGATTAAGCTTTTAAGACATAAAAGCATCACTGATTTTTTTCCCCCTTATGTGCATGTCATAATAATATATACATAGCACAGAAATATGGGGATATCTTTTAAGTATATATTCCTAGCCTTTGTACTTGATAGGAGTTGCATGCAAGACAGAACAGTAGCCCCATTTTTAACAATGTTATACTTCTTTGATAGACATTTATTTACAACTGTGTACAAGGAGTTTGGGCATATTTTTTTCCAGGATTTTGTTTTTGGTCTTTTGACTAGTTGCTAAAGATCTCAACTTGTTTAACTTAGGCCATCTTTACACACAAATGCCATAAATTATGAATTCTGTAGAAATGGTTGATAGTTTCTCTTCTCTTGAGGTTCCCAATCAGTTAATGAATTTTAGGAGTCAAGAAGAGTAAATAATCCCTTCTAGGATATCTTTGCTCTCTTTGGATTATTAATATACATCAGTTTAACCTTTAATTAGAAACAAAATTATTTTGTTTTGAAATGAGTCTTTAATATTCTTTGTGTGGTATAATTAACTTTAGGAAACCTGTTATATGAAAATTAAAAGGTGAACCTTTGTTTTACAATGTCTCACTTTAAAGAGGAATTTATGGTAGTACTTTAGGATAGCTTAGCTTAGATTTGATTGACAAAATTTATTTTGCAAGGTTTATCAGAAATTGCTTAATTGCATACAACCAGACATTTGTAATTTAGGGAGCATTCCTGACTGTTTTAAATGAGTAATAACATTCACTCACTCCTTTGTCCCATCCAGTCACCATCACTTTTTGGAGGTTACCACTTTTTTTCATTTTCTAGTCCATTTCATTGTTTCTGTACGCACATATAGGTTTTTATTCCAGCATAATGTAAAACCTAGGATACCATACATACTATCCTTCACCATAGTTTCGTGGGGGTTTTTTGTTTTTTTGTTTTTTTAAAGATTTTATTTATTATTTGACAGAGAAAAAGAGATGACAAGTAGGCAGAGAGGCAGGCAGGTTTGGGGGGTGGGGGAAGCAGGCTCCCTGCCAGCAGAGAGCCCTATGTGGGGCTCGATCCCTGGACCCTGGGATCATGACTTGAGCTGAAGGAAGAGGCTTAACCCACTGAGCCACCCAGGTGCCCCTCATGTTTGTTTTTTTAATTGAACAGTATCTCCTGGACCTCTCTCCACATCAGTATATAGGAACTTTGTTCTCTATTCCAGCAGCCAAAATTTGGTAGATAGTGCCAAATTGTACTCCATAAGAGTTGTACATTTTGTACCATTACCACAGTGTGTAAAAGTATTTGTTTATAACTTGGAAGGAATTCCTTGCTGTCTACTTTCCTCTCAGTTTGGAGGAATAAGTTCTAATATTGTTTATTCTCTCTGTTTCCAGAGCAGTACAAATTCTAGAGACTTACAGGTTTTGACATTTTATATTGAGAGGTGTTTCTTGGAGTTAAGTTTTTTCCCCACTCTTTCTGGCTTCATGTCTTGAGTCCTTATTACAATCATATTAACTAGATTTGTCATCACGGGTACTTTGTATTTTTCTCCATTGATATGGTCATCATAGTTTATTTTAAGCACCAAAGGAAACCTAGTCAGAGGATATGATAACAATTAACATGGTTCAGTTCCCTTGTATCATTTGATAAAAAGGACTGATGTGCAGTAAAATTATTTTTCTGTCAATCATTTCAATTTTGTTATGTTCCATTCCTCTATTTATTGTTACCTTACTGTGACCATTATGATATTGATGTAACTTTCCTTTGCATTTTCTCTTTTATTAATTTTCAAGAGTGTTGAATTTCATGAAAGAGGAAAGAATCATAAGGAGAATGTTGCGAAGAGGATCAGTGAGGTAATTTATTTATTTATTTATTTATTTGCCAGTTTTTCTATGTAAATATCAGTCCTTTATCTGGCTTTCGATTTTATATGTGTCTTACATAGATTAAACAGAAAAGCCTGGATAAGGCAAAGGAAGAAGAAAAGGCATCAAAGGAGTTTGCCGCGATGGAGGCAGCTGCCCTGAAAGCATACCAAGAGGATTTGAAAAGGCTTGGCTTAGAGTCAGGTAAAAAAGCAGCCAGCATGTTTTAAAACAAACATCAGAGGTCATGCTCAGTGAGCTTTTATTGTTTCCATAAAGAGGTGGTACACTCAGGGTCTACTCTTAGTGCTTTTCCTATGCATCATAGCTGTATTTAGACCGTGGGACTTGGCTTACGCACTTTTATTTTACTTTTAAAGCTTCATCTTGTGACACTTCCATTCATAACCATACTACCTTGGTGGTTAGCTAGTCCTAGTTCTGTCTTGGTCAGTGTTCATTTCAGACACAGCTGAGGTTTTTAGGTATTTGGCTAAAAGAAGCTATTCATTAAAAAATAGGCCTTGCATTATAACCACAGTTTGCTTTATCCATATGGTCAAAAGTATGAATTATGTTTGGTTATATGGTTGAGTTATAGTGAATTAGCCTTTTGTGGACAAATTTTCTGATTTTACCACTAGAAGGCAGATAATTTTTTTAATTGGATAAATTTGACATAAAACATTGTTTATGCAGGTGTTACTTTGATGCATTTATATATCGTAATAAGATTGCTACTAAAGCAATATTTGCCACATTATCTATTACGGTATTATTGTCTCTATTCGTTATACTGTGTATTCAATATCTATGGCTTAAGTACTACTTACTGCAAGTACATAACCTTAAACAGTATCAGCCTTAACCCCCAACCCCCTGTCTTCTGGAAACAACAATTTTACTTTTTGGTCTTATGAGTTTGACTCTTAGATTCCACATCAAGTGATATCATGCAGTATGCTTGTCTTCTCTTTACCTGACTTACCTCACTTATCATAATATGTTCAGGTTCCATCCATGTTGCTGCAGATGGCAAGATATCCTTCTGTCTCATGGCTGAATAGTATTACATTATGCATATGTACTATATCTTTTTTATCCATTTGTCTTGTTGATGGGCATTAGGGTTGTTTACATATCTTGGCTGTGATGAGTAATGCTGCAGTAGGTATGGGAGTGCGTATATCCCTTTGAAATCCTGCTCGTATGTCCAATGAGTGTATAACCAGAAGTGAAATTGCGAGGTCATATGGTAGATCTATTTTTAACTTTTTGAGGAACCTCCATAAGTTCTACATAGTGGTTGGACCAGTTCACATACACCAGCAGGAGGGTTCCCTTTTTCCATGTGGTCACCAGCAAGAAGGTAAATAATTTGGAGGTTTGAAGATAACTCAGTTCCAGATAAAAGGCATTTATTTAAGTAGAGTGTATCAATCTTGTTGATGAACTTGGGCTTTAACTCAGGAACTTTTCTGTCAGCATTTCTTCCATGACAAATCAATTATCCTTAAACCAGGCAAATAGCAGTCCCAGTTGTTGATCTTGCAGAATGGTTGAGATAGTCAACATTGAATGATATTCTTTACTCTCCAAAAACTTCTTTCCATTAGTTTTTAAGCAGAATAATAAGTCAATTGGTATTGCCCTCATCAAATAAGGATAGTTGTAAGCAGTCTTTAAAAATATTATCCTGGACATTTTTAGTTAAAAGGAAGGGATGGGGGCTGTATTTCCATGAGGATAAAGCTTAAAGGAAAAAAAGGATAGAGGTGTTCCTGCAGGATTAAAAGGGAGTCGTTGAAAATTCATCTCATCAATTATATGGATTGGGAGGTTCCATTATGCTACCCTATAAGCAAATCAGTCTTTGAATTTTGTACTTAAATGTATTTAAATAGGATTTTTTCAAATTAAATTATTTTTTCATAGCCTTGTTTTCTTTAATAGGATGTACATTCCCCTTAAAGTGCAATAATGCAGTACAAAGAAAGGACTTTTAAAAACTAAATACTTTTAAGATTATCCCAGACATCTTTAGAGTTTTCTTTTTTAGGTTATATGTCACATTATATATAATCTATTTGGAGGTGGTTTTATTTTTTCCCTCAATAACATGTCAAATACTTCCTTTCTTTTAAATAATTAAGGATATACATCGTGTTTAATGGCTACAGAGTGGTTAGGAGCACAGACTGGAATCCACCAGAATTGCCACTTGCTAGATCTACAACCTCCAATTTTCATAAAAACTAAGTAACATAATGGTATAAACTGCTTATTACAGTGACTACTTGCAATAAGTGTTTAATAATGGTTATAAAATGCCATAACAAAATGCCATAAAAGTGTCATAACTTATTTAACTAATCTCTTCCAGACTAACATTTAGGTTGCTTAGAGTTTTCACTGTTAGAATGAATGCTTCAGTGAATTGTTATGCAGGCGTGTTTTTTCACATTTCTGTAAGTTTAATCTCTATAGAGATGAAATTGCAGAATCAAAGTGTGAATATATTTTATATATTGATAGCTAATACCAAGCTGTCTTATCTTTGTACTTTTTGTCCATCTTTTGTTAGAATGTTGGATTTATTTGTAAGGAATCTTTGTTACGAAATTAACCATGAGCCATATTTGTTGTAAATATTTATTATTTTTTAATTTTTTTTAGTTTTTAAAAATCTTTATTCTATTATAATTAACATAGCATCATATTATTTTTGTTTTTTTGTTTTTATTTTTTCTATAACGGAATATTTGGATTTGTATGTAGGTTTAACACTATTTTACTTTTTTTTTTTTTTTCACATATATCTTTAATCTAAAGTTTATATTTATGTGCAAACATGAGAGGGGCCTTGGAGTGGGGAATAGCTCTACTTTTTTCCAAATAAGTAACCAGTCAATCCAACATCATTTGTTAAGTGATCTCTTTTTCTAATATGCACCAGGAATCTGCATTTGGGTCTGTTTACTCTTTGTTCTATTTCATTCATATGTTTACCTACTCCAGGATTCGTTTTACCTTTTTTTTTTTAATGTACCAATTGTTTTAGAGTAAGTTTTAACATCTGGTAGAATTAGATTCTCCTTATCATTTCTGTTTTATAATTCTGGATATTTGTGCATATTTAGTTTTCCAAATGAGCTTTATTTATAATTTGTCAAGTTCCCAAAAGAATCTTCTTATCAGGCTTTTAATTGGAATAACATTATTAGTTGTTTCATACCAGGAAAAAAAAAGTGTTGGTACTTCACCTTTCTTAATATCTTTTTCTCTAGAAATTTCAGAGCCAAGCGTATCACCAGTAACAAGCACTATCCCACCCACCTCTGCACCAAAGCAGCAGAAGGAAAAGAAGAAAAAGAAGAAAGACCCTTCAAAGGGCAGATGGGTAGAAGGCATAACCTCTGAGGGTTACCATTACTATTATGATCTTATCACAGGAGGTAGGTCAGGCATAGAACTGGTAAGAATGATAAGTGTTTATTTTGTTTTAGTTAATATTGGAACATTTAAACAATGGAAGACTGTAACTTTACATCTTTGGCATAATGGTAAAAAAGTAATGTGCCCTTTAAAAAGATGTCCTTAAAAAAAAAAAAAAAAGATATCCATCTTATAGTGACTCAATGTTATACTTAGTTAAGCCCTTAAGAATGGGTTCCTTATGGGGCACATGGATACCTCAGTCAATTAAGCATCTGCCTTCGGCTCAGGTGATGATCTCAGGACCCTGGGATTGAATCCCTTGGAGTCCCGCGTCTTGCTCCCTGCTCAGGAGAAAGGCTGCTTCTCCCTTTGCTCTTTCTCCCTTACTCCCGCCTCTATGCTTGTGCTCTCCTGCTTGGGCTCTCATCTGCTCTCTCTCTTTCTCAAATAAATTTAAAAAAAAAAAATTTTTTTTTAAGGAATGGGTTCCTTTCAAATTAATTAAAGCATTATATTGTCTCAAGAATATCTTTTAAAAGTATGAACTACATTAAAATAAAGCAGTTTACATGGTTATAAGGCATTTCAGATCCACTTTACAATTTGTAGAGGTTCTTAAAATATTCTGTGGGAGAGATTTTCTATCCAAAACCAGACTGGGAACCAGAACCATTTTCTTTTTTGTGTAGCCATCTTGTAGTAAAGAACCCCAGGCTCCTATTCATGTTTTGGATATCACTTTCTAATAAAATACACAGTAGTGTTTTCCAGTGGGAATATCAAAAGCAGTTTTGTTTTCCTTTAAAACTAAATGTATTGAGGATTTATTCATTTTAATTCTGAGATAAGTAAATACATTTATGTAGCATCTTACCATCCAGAATTACAAAATTTAAGATGAGAAATAAGCATAATACAAGAAGGAGTTTTAAAGTGCCGTGATACAATAGAGATGTAAAATTGTGTGGGAACTTCAAATTGTGAGGGATTGTGATTATGTAGATGTGAGAGATTATCACAGAAATTACTTTTGAACTGATTTATAAATTAAGAGGAGAACATCAAGAATGATGTCTTCTTATTCACCATTTGTATCCCTAGCACCAAAGACAGGTATAGACACTTTATAGATATTTTGATTGAAAAAGATTGTAGTAGTTTGTTATGAGGGTGAAGTAAGCATTCCAAACAGATAGAACAATATGAAACTTTAAAAAGTTTGAAAGTAAAAAAAATGAAAAAATAAAAAGTTTGAAAGTTTGGGAGATAGTCATTTGGTAGAAGTAAAATATATAGTTCTCTGTGGGATGCCGGGGTGGCTCAGGCAGTTAAGTGGCTGCCCTCAGCTCAGGTAATGATTCCAGGGTCCTGGGATTGAAGCCCACATCGAGCTTCTTGCTCAGCAGAGAGCCTTCTCCCTCTGTGTGCTGCTTCCCCTGCTTGTTGTCTCTCCCTCTCTGACAAATAATCTTTAAATATAAATAAATAAATAAATGCTAACTTTAAATATATATATACATACAAAGATCTCTGAAGATGTCCTAGCAGAAGAAAGAGGCTACAAAAATAGATTGGCGCTATGTCATGGAGGGCTAGGAAGATCGTGCCATTTACTGAAGTATGGAATACAGAAATAGAGTAGGTTAAAGTGGGACAATAATAAATTCAGTTTTTGGAATGTCGAGGTTGAGGTACCTCCAGAACATTTCATGTGGTAGTTTTCAGTGGCTGATTACAGTCTGGAATTAGGGAGATAAATTGAGTCTAGAAATGTAGATAATATCTTTTTTTTCTTTTTTAAATTATGTTAGTCACCATATAGTAAGTACATCATTAGTTTTTGATGCAGTGTTCCAGGTTTCATTGTTTACGTATAACACCCAGTGCTCCCTGCAATACATGCTCTCCTTAATACCCATCACCAGGCTTACCCATCCCCCCACCACTCAAACTCTTGGTTTGTTTCTCAGAGTCCACAATCTCTCATGGTTTGTCTACCCCTCTGACTTACCCCCCACTTCACTTTTCCTTTCCTTCTCCTAATATACTCCATATTATTCCTTGTGTTCCACAAGTAAGTGAAACCATATGGTAATTGACACTCTCTGCTTGAGTCAATTCACTCAGCATAATCTCCTCCAGTCCCATCCATGTTGATGGAAAAGTTGGGTATTCTTCCTTTCTGATGGCTGAGTAATACTCCATTGTGTGTCTGGATCACATCTTCTTTATCCATCTATCTGTTGAAGGGCATCTTGACTCTTTCCATAGTTTGGCTATTGTGAATGTTGTTGCTATGAACGTTGGGGTGCATATGGCCCTTCTTTTCACTGCCCCTATATCTTTGGGGTAAATACCCACTAGTGGAATTGCTGGATCATAGGGTAGGTCTATTTTTAATTTTTTGAAGAACCTCCGTACTGTTTTCCAAAATGGCTGTACCAACTTGAATTCCCCATTCTCCACAACCTCTCCAACATTTGTTGTTTCTTGCCTTGTCAATTTTTGCCATTCTCAGTGGTGTAAGGTGGTATCTCAGTGTGGTTTTGATTTGAATTTCCCTGATGGCTAATGATGAAGAACGTTTTTTCATGTATCTGTTAGTCATTTGTATGTCTCCTTTTGAGAAGGTCTTTTCATATCTTCTGCCCATTGTTCAACTTATCTGTTTTTGGGGTGTTGAGTATGAGAAGTTCTTCATAGATCTTGGGTATCAGCCTTTTGTCTGTAGTGTCATTTGCAAATATCTTCTCCCTTTCCGTGTGTTGCCTCTTTGTTTTGTTGACTGTTTCCTTTGTGGTGCAGAAACTTTTTATCTTAATGAAATCCCAAAAGTTCATTTTCGCTTTTTATTTTCCCTTACCTTTGGAGATGTATCTTGAAAGAAGTTGCTGTGGATGATGAAGAGGTTACTGCCTGTGTTCTCCTCTAGGATTTTGATGGATTCCTGCCTCACGTTGAGGTCTTCCATCCATTTTGAATTTATCTTTGTGTATGGTGTAAGAGAATGGTCGAGTTTGATTTTTCTGTATGTAGCTGTATAATTTTCCCAGCACCATTTATTGAAGAGACTGTCTTTTTTCCATTGGATACTTTTTCCTGCTTTGTCGAAGATTGGTTGACATAGAGTTGAGGGTCCATTTCTGGGCTCTCTATTCTGTGCCATTGATCTATGTCTGTTTTTATGCCAGAACCATGCTGTCTTGGTGATCACAGCTTTGTAACATAGCTTGAAATCAGGGAACATGATGCCGATTTGGGCTTTTCTGGTTCCATACAAATTTTTGGATTGTATGTTCCAGCACTTTGAAAAATGCCATTGCTATTTTGATCGGGATGGCATTGAAACTGTAGATTGCTCTGGGCATCATAGTAATTTTAACAATGTTGATTCTTCCAATCCATGAGCATGGAATGTTTTTCCATCTTCTTGTGTCTTCAGTTTCTTTCCTGAGTGTCCGTTAGTTCCCCAAGTATAGATCTTTTACCTCTTTAATTAGGTTTATTTCAAGGTATCTTATGATTTTTGGTGCTATTGTAAATGGAGTCAATTCTCTAATTTCTCTTTCTACAGTTGCATTGTTAGTGTATGAGAAAGCAACTGTTTTCTGTGCATTGATTATCCACCATGACCAGGTGGGATTTAACCCTAGGATGCAGGGGTGGTTCAACATTCGCAAATCAGTGTGATAGAACACATAAATAAAAGAGGAGACAAGAACCACATGGTCCTCTAAATTGATGCAGAAAAAGCATTTGACAAAATACAACATCCTTTCCTGATTAAAACTATTCAGCTTATAGGGATAGAGGGAACATTCCTCAATTTCATAAAATCCATCTATGAAAAACCCACAGTGAATATTCTCAGTGGGGAAAAGCTGAGAGCCTTTCCCTTGAGATCAGGAACATGACAAGGATGCTCACTCTTGCCACTATTGTTCAACATAGTACTAGAAGTCCTAGCAACAGCAATCAGACAACAAAAAGAAATAAAAGGTACTCAAATTGGCAAAGAAGAAGTCAAACTCTCCTTTCTTGGATGACGTGATACTTTATGTGGAAAACCCAAAGACTCCACCCCCAAACTACTAGAACTCATACAGCAGTTCAGTAATGTGGCAGGATAGAAGTGTAAATAATATCTGAACTTTTAGGAGTATATGAGATCACAAGGAGAAAGAAGAGAACAAGTACGAAGGGTGGATAGTACATATATTGAAGGAAAGAAGAAAATACAGAAAAAAAAGTTAAGAATGATCAGAAAGGTAGGAAATGAGATCAGAGTTAATCATGAAAAAAACCTTGGGCTATCAGTATTATAATTATTACAATTTTTAGAATCACAGTTTTGGACTACATGGAAATAGTAATAATCACATTTTCCACTGAGCCTTAAGTGCATGTTAGCTAGTTCAGCAGTGAACCGCAAATGATTGTATGTTTGCTAAGGATCACAAGTCTGTCTCAGATTTACATAGAAACTATTTATTAATGGGGCACCTTGGTGGCTCAGTTGGTTAAACATCTGACTCTTGATTTCAGTGTAGGTCATGATGTCAAGGTTGTGGTATCGAGCCCCACATCAGGCTCTGGCTCAGTATGAAGTCGGCTTGAGATTTTCTCTCGCTCGCTCGCTCCCTCTGTGCCCCCCCACCCCCATGCTCTCTCCTTTCTTTCCTCTTTCTTTTTCTTAAGATTTTATTTATGTATTTGAGAGAAAGAGAGCACAAGCCAGGCGGGGTAGAGCAGGCAGAAGGAGAAGCAGACTCCCTCTTGAGCAGGGAACCCGATGTGGGGCTCCATCCCAGGGCTCTGAGACCATGGCCTGAGCCAAAGGCAGACGCTTAACCAACTGAGCTACCCAGGTGCCCCTTCCTCCCTCTTTCTAAAAAAAATAAGTAAGTAAAATCTTTTATAAAAAAGATTTTTAAGAACTATTAATTACGTGTTTCTCCCTTCTAATTCCTATTGCTTGATTCCTTTGTTCGCCATCCTACTGTTTATAGTCTTGCTCTCAGCAAAACCCTTGAACAACACAGGTGTTAGGGACACTGACCCTCCCTACCCCATGTGGTCGAAAATCTGCTTATAACTTTTTTTTAAAGTATAGTTGCCATGCAGTGTTACATTAGTTTCAGGTATACAACACAGTGATTTGACAGTTCCATACTTTAACCCATGCTCACTCCAGTTGCAGTCCCCATACACTGCTATTGCAGCTTTATTGACTATATTCCCTCGGCTGTCCTATTCTTCATCTCCATGGCTTATTTGTTTTATAACTAGAAGTTTGAGCCTGTTCATCCCCTTCACATGTTTCACGTGTTTTGCCATCCACCACCCTTTCTTGCAACCACCAGTTCTCAATATTTAAGAGTCTGGTTTTATTTGTTTTGTTTTTTAGACTCTACATGTAAGTGAAATCATATGGTATTTGTCTGTCTTTGTTTGATCTATATCACTTAGCATAATAGCCTCTAGGTTCATCCATGCTGTTACATGGCAAGATTTTATTTTTTATGGCTGAGTAATATTTGTGTGTGTGTGTGTGTGTGTGTGTGTCTGTGTGTGAAAGAGGGAGAGAGATGAGTATCTCACATTTTTAATCTATCAGTGAGCACTTGGGTTGCTTCTGTATCCTGTCTATATATAATAATAGACATTATTATCATATATAAATAATGCTGCTATAAATATAGAGGTGCATTTATCTTTTCAAATTAATGTTCTTATTTTCTTCGAGTGTATGCCATAGTGAGATTACTGGATCATATGGTTTTTATAACTTTTAACTCCCCAAAAACTTAACTACTAATAGCCTACTATTGACTAGAAGCCTTACAGATGACATAAACAGTTGACACACACATTTTGTGTGTTATGTGTATTATATACTGTATTTTATAGTAATACCTTTTTCTTATTTTTTTCAGTATTACTAGACTATGTGGTTCATCTGTGAGGTATTTTTAAACTATCACAAATCTCTCAAAAATTTTTCCAATATATTTATTGAAAAAAATCTGCTTGTAAGTGGACCTGCACAGTTCAGACCCATGTTGTTCAAGGGTCAGGTTGTACTTGTTTTTAATTCCTGCATCTTTCATCGTGTTCCTCTTAAGTCATTCATTCTGTTTCTCGCTCTCCCCTCCCTAGGATGTCAAACGACCATCTCATTTCTTCAAAACTCATCAAGCCTGGGACACCTGGCTGGCTTAGTCGGAACAGCACATGACTCTTAAATTGGGGGTCATACATCTGAGCCCTGTGTTGGGTGTAGAGATTACTAAAAAATATATTAATAACAAACTTTTAAAAAAGCTTTTCGATCCTGGGGTCGAGCCACCTGGGTGGCTCAGTCAGTTGAGCATCCAACTCTTGGTTTTGGCTCAGGTCATCATCTAATGGGGTGTGGGATCAAGCCCAGGTTCTGTGATCCCCCAGGTAGTCTGCTTAGGGTTCTCTCCCTCTTCTCCCTCTTCCCCGCCTCCCATGCATACAGGCATGCACACTCACTTGTATGCTCTCTATTTCTCTCAAAGAAATAAATAAATCTTTAAGAAAATGAATAAATCTTAAAAAAAGAAAACAAAAAAAAAAACTTCTGAATTCTGCGAGATCTCACCTGCATCCAAGAATTCTTGTGGAAGTCCCAGTAACTTCTAATCCTCATTCTGTTTTTCCTTCTTGGTTAAATATCACTCACATATGTTCTGTATAATACTCTTGGGATGTATATTGTTTCTTTTTATTTTTCAATTCTGTGTTCAACTATAGGCCTGTAGTGTTTTGTACACATTAAATGTCCTATAAATTTTTGCCAAATTAAATTTTCTGAGAAGTTTTTCTTTTGAAGTGAAAAAATTGTATTAATGAAGTATATTTTGCTTTAAGCATCCCAATGGGAGAGACCAGAAGGATTTCAGGGAAACTTAAAAAAGGTAACTGAAGCATATTGTTAGTGTCTTTTCTTTAAACTGATTGGTTTTTGGGTTTTTTATAAAAGAGTTCTGCTAAGCGAATTTACTTCCACATAAGGCCCCCGACACACACTTTGTTCCTTTCTTCCTATATTCTTTTGTGAGAAGACTGGGTGGAGGTGAAAATTTGCTATCTACCTAAAAACTCCATGCAGGGCAAATATCATCAGTTAATTTATAGTCCATTGCATTCACATGTCCCTGTCCATCTGCAAGGAATTGTTCCTGTCTTTCAGAGGGTGCAATGTTCTCTCTCTGAAAGTTAGTTCATAATTAACACAAACCAAGCTTCCTGGCCATGGTCAGTACTGCCTCTCTAATTCCCAGGTGTTAAGAGGAAAGGGAAAGTAGCTGACTCTATGCCTTAGTTATTTAATATAGTATAACTACATCATTATCTTCCGTTTATGCTGGATTTTTCCTCCCATTAGATAGCAGGGAAGACTGTTTGGGTAGAAGGAGTAAGTGAAGATGGTTATACCTACTATTATAATACAGAAACAGGAGGTAAGTATGACCTTTGATTATCCTAACTATATAAAATTGTACTTGGAACTGCTTATTAGCCTGCTGATTAAGGGAACTTAGGAATTTTAGTATAGCGATCAACATATATCCATAGCATGTGTATATTACTTTTGTAATTTAAAAACAACACAATGGAAGAACAGGAAGATTTTCATATATAATATACTGTGTTGCTCATTATTCTTACTTGATGTGCCATTCACAAATTTTAAAGATCATTTTTACTTTATCATTATTGACTTTTATTATGATTATTGTAGAAATATAATCATTACCTTAAAAGGTACCTTAGAAATCACCTAATTTGACTTGCCTTTTCCTTTCTAAAAAACAAAACAGGTTATGTTAGCAGTGGCTGAGAATGTCAGATATTCACTTTTACTAACCCAGTAATGTTTCAGTTATATGTAAATATTTATAAAACATGCATAACTGTTGTCAATTATTATCTAAGTTTTTCAAGTTAACATTTTTTCTAATTTAATTTTATAAAATGGGTCAGCAAGTAATTATAGTTAGTTTCTCCTACAATTAAATTTACCAAAATATGTATAGTATCAGTAGAAGTTTGAGAGTCCTTATTTAATTATTTATTAAATTTGTACTATCCAAACACATAGCATTAAATCTTTTAGGAAGAAAAGGCCCTTGTTAGCCTCCAAGTAGATAACCTAGCCTGCCCAACAATAGTAATGGTTCTAGCTTGGTAAAATTGAGATACTGAATCTTTCTGAAGATAAAATAATATAGTGATAGAATATAGGTGGAGAGTTGGTTCTGGCCTCAGTGCATAGCTTCTTCCGTTACCAGCTATATGATTCTGGGGCAAGTCTCTGAACCTCTAGCCGCTGTTATGCAAAACTGAGATGATCATGTATACTCTTGGGTAATGAAGGTCGGGTATCTTTAAAGTTCCCAGAACAGTACCTAATACATAGTAGGTGCTTAAATTATTTCCTGAAAGTTTGTTACTCATGTGAAATATAGATAAGGAAATAATTATTTTCATGTTGGAAAACACCTTTTTTTTTTTTAAGGATTTTATTTTTAACTAATCTTCTACAGCCAGTGTAGGGTTCAAGCTTACAGCCCTGAGATCAAGAGTTGCATGCTCCATTGACTGAGCCACCCAGGCGCCCTAGAAAACACCCTCTTTTAATAAGAGGCTATACAAACTACTTTGCCCTCAAACAGTTTCAGTTTATGTATAGCAAGTGTAATTATTGATACAGCCCCTTTCACTCTTAAAACTATCTCAGTTAGACAGTAAATCTTACCATTCCTTTCCCTTTTATTATACTAAAAATGGAGACTGTTAGATAATTAGAAATGCTATCTTTTTTTTTTTTTTCAGTGTTCCAAGATTCATTGTTTATGTATAACACCCAGTGCCACATGCAATATGTGCCTTCCTTAATACCCGCCACCAGGCTGTCATTTTACTAAAAGCCCAGTAAACCACTGGATGGCAGTAGAGTTCAATGGAGATTATTTTTTTCCTAGTATAAAAATGGCGAATTATATTCATTCAGGTCTTCACAGTATGATTTCACTCTGTGCGGACCCCAGGAAACCTTTGTGATAAATAAATTCCAGGAAATCTAATGTGTACTCATTAGCACATGTTTCCTGATACTGGTGTCAGATAAAGTGTGACAGTCCTTCAAAGGTGTTGCCCAGTTCTTAGTTCTCTTTCCATTAGGGCTATAGTTTATATGTCTGGAATCCAGATTGAAATCAACTCTCAAAAGATAAAAGAGCAAGTGCTTTGGGAACTCTTATTTATTATCTTCTTAATCAAGTGATAGTGTAAAATAGATGTAGTGCTATTGTTTAATAATGTGGAAAAAAAAGTTCAAAAAAATGGGAGTGTTATATTGGGATTTACTTCGGAATAGAATTGGTAACTAAATAACATGACTATTAAAATGTGTTGAATAGAATCCAGATGGGAAAAACCTGATGATTTCATTCCACACTCTGGCGATCTGCTTTCTAGTAAGGTCAGTGAAAAATCACGTGGTACCCTAGAAGAATCTAAATCATCAGATTCTCATAGTGATTCTGATGGAGAAGAGGAAGCAGAAAAAGAAGAGGCCTCTACCGAAACACAAAAGCCAAAAATAAAGTTTAAGGTAGGTTTTTGATTTATTCTTTACAGAACTTTACCAATTTATTGAGAGCTCAGCAGACTTACTCAGTTTTCTGGTGGAAGATAGAAGCAAAGCCAAAACATACATTTTTAGCAAATGGATAAATGGTTGTAGTACTTTTAGTATCTATCTGGTGGCAAGACAGTTCATTTTTAGACCTCTTAAGTTTGAGATACCCCAGGAACATCTAGAGAGCTGTCTGAATATACAAGTCTGAGTATCTGTATCTAGGCTAGAGATGCTAATTTGAGTACCATCAGCATACTGGTAGTAATTTAAATCTCAGAATGAGTGAGATAACCTAGGAAAATGACTTTGGGCAACATTAAACATTAAAGTGACAGGCTGGGAAAGAGGAGCTCATAATGAAAAGAATGGCTAGAAAGGTATGCAGAGAAGCAGAAGAATTTAAGATCCAAGAAGCTAAAGGAATAAGAGTGTCAAGTATTAATTAGGTCTAGAACAAGAAAAATGAAGCCCTTCTAGTAGTTTCACCAGGGTTTGAGGTGGCAGAACTCAGATTATATTGTACATCTGAAACTAATATTAGACTATATTAACTAACTGGAATTTGAATAAAAACTTTAAAAAATAAATAAAGGGGCAAATGAGTGTCTCAGTTAAGTATCTGCCTTCAGCTCAGGTCATGATCCTGGGGTCCTGGGATCGACCCCCATATCAGGCTCCCTGCTCAGTGGGAAATCTGCTTCTCCCCACCCCACCCCCCTGCTTGTACTCTCGCTCACTGTCAAGTGATAAATAAAAAATCTTCAGAAAGAAAGAACTCCAATTATAGAGGAATGAAAAGTGGTTCACGGTTTATATGTGGTTTGGATATGAGGTGAAACCTAGAAATTGGTTGTCAGGATGATGTCTACATGTTGACTCTTAATCATGAGAGATTTGTGATAATGATGTTTTCATTTAGAGGGACTCCAAAGGAGGTGGAGTGGGAATACCAACAAGGGTAGGTGGATAGGTTGGTCTTGAACGAGGAATAAACTCATTTTGGATAGGGTAAGGTTTTCCTTTTCTGTAAGAAGGTAGGACTATGGATGAGTTGGTGTCAGAGAGGAAATTGAAAGTCATTCCCTTTTAGCCTCAGTTTACTCATTTATAAAGAAATCAAGATTGCTTCCTGAGAGTGAGGAGCTTTGAGTAGCTTGACAACATTAATGAAGTGAAACAGTCATTCAGCTGGGGTGGGAGAGAAAGTGAACCAAGTAAAAAGATTGTCAGATGCTGCTGAATCCCCAGCCATGGCAGAAAAGTAAAATCAAACATTTCTATAGTCTTGCTAGTCCTGCTTTGTGATCTTTCCAGGAATACTCTAGGATCCCAGGTGGCAAAGCAAAAAAGACACATAGCATTGATCCATAGATGACATTACTGGCCAGAGTAGTGAAGGAAGTCCAAGGATGCTGGAGAGAGGGTACTTCCAGGCCACATTTAGAGTCTTGTCATTGCCTGGAATTTTTCTGCGTACCCCATAATTCTTGGTAGAACTTGGGCTGAGGGCTGGATCCAGTTTGTAGAGGAGCAGCCGCAGAGCCCTTATAGTAGCTATCGCATAATGTTTATATTTATTTGTTGTTGTTCTTTTTTATTTTCTTTTTATTTCAGTCTGCTTTTATTTCTCTCGACAATATTTTACAGTTTTCAGTGTCATATATATTTTGTCAAATTTGTCCCTGGGTAATTGTTTCATGCTTAATATAAGTGGTACAGGTTAAAATTTTTAATTTCCAATTGTTCACTGGTAATATATAGAAAAATCACATAGTAATTATTTCTGGTAACTTTATTAAATGTACTGTTAGTTCCAGTAGCATTTTTTAGTAGAGTCATTAGGACTTTTTTGCATTGACAATCACATCATCTTTCACTCAGTGCCCCTTATATTAATGAAGTTTCTCCACTCTGGCCATTGGAAACATGAACTATTTCCACCCCTATATTATTTTCTTTTTGAGATTTTATTTTTAAGTAATATCTCCTTTTTTTTTTTTTTAAAGTACAACCAACATGGGGTTTGGACTCAACAACCCTGAGGTCAGGAGTCACATGCTCCACCGACTGAGCCAGCCAGGCTCCCCCATCTCACAATGTTTATACCCAGTATCCAACCTGGACAGATATTATTAATTTCAAGCAAATAAGATATTATAAAATACAGATAAACAAAAACAGACTACCTGTAACCCTGCTACTTCCCAGAGAAATGCCTATAACATTTTGGTGTTTTCTCAGTCTGTAGTTTTGTTTTGTTTTTTTTTTAATTCAGACTCTCATGCATTATTTTTAAAATATGGAGTCATCCTGGGGGCACCTAGGTGGCTCAGTTGGTTAGGCATCTGCCTTCTGCTCAGAGCATGATCCTAGGGTCTTGGGATTGAGCCCCACATTAAGCTTCCTGCTCTCTCTCTCCCTGTGCCCCAACCCCCCCTGCTCGTGTGCATGCTCTCTCTCAAATAAATAAAATCTTCAAATTAAAACACGGAGTCATACTATGATAAGGTCTTAATTGCTTTAAAATTTAATCTGTCACAAAGACATCAATAAGTTTTCATCCACCAAAATATTGGATGGATAGTTTTCTGTGGTATGAATACACTATTATTTACTCAGCTGTTTGTAGCTGAATATTTCTTTTTAATAACCACTGAGGACTGGGGAAGAAATACCTAGAAACACATTATTAAGCAATGTTAAAGTCTCTGCTGACACTGTGTATTGTAAATTCTGAAGTCTTACCAGTTTGTATGGTTGTGTGATTTTTTTTTTTTAATTCCAGTACAGTTAACATACAGTGTAATATTAGTTTCAGGTATATTAGTTTAGTGACTCAGCAATTCCGCACATCTCCCAGTGCTTATCACAACACAGGCACTTCTTAATACCCATCACCTATTTCTCCCCCTCCCCACCCACCTCCCCTCTGGTAGCCATCAGTTTGTTCTCTATACTTAAGGGTCTGTTTCTTGGTTTATCTCTCCCTCTCTATTTTTTCCCTTTGCTTGTTTGTTTCTTAAATTCCACGCAAGTGAGATTCTATGGTATTTATCTTTCTCTGACTTACTACTTCACTTAACACACTCTAGTTCCATTCATGTCGTTGCAGATGGCAGCCTTGCATTCCTTTTTTTTTACAGCTGAATAATAATCCAGTACATATTCATATATCACATCTTAGTCATCTGTCAGCGAGCACTGGGCTACTTCCATAGTTAGTTAGTTGTAAATAATGCTGCAATAAACATAGAGGTTTGGCTTCCACAGTTTGCTTAGGGATTTGGCTTCCATAGTTTTGCTTACATATTTTGGCTGTTGTAAATAATGCTGCAATAAACATTTTTTCCTATAGTTTTGATTTGCATTTCCTTGATGATCAGTGATGCTGAGCATTTTTTCATGTGTTGGCCATCTCTTTGTCTTTAGAGAAATTTCTGTTCGTGTCTTCTGTCCATTTTTAGTTAGATTCTTTTTTGTTTGGATGTTGGTCTGTATAAGTTCTTTATATATTTTAGATATTAACCCTTTATTGGCTATGTCATTTGCAAAATCTCTTCTCCCATTCAATAAGTTGCCTTTTAGTTTTGTTGATTGTTTTCTTTGCTGTGGAGAAGGTTTTTGTTTTATTGTAGTCCCAGTAGTTTATTTTTGCTTTTATTTCCCTTCCCTCAGACATATGTAGAAAAATGTTGCTATAGCCAATGTTAGAGTCCTTACTGCCTGTGCTTTCTTAAAGGATTTATGGTTTCAGATCTCACATTTAGGTTTTGGTTTTTGTTTTTTAAGATTTTATTTATTCATTTGACAGAGAGAGATCACAAGTAGGCAGAGAGGCAGGCAGAGAGAGAGGGAGAAGCAGGCTTCCCACTGAGCAGAGAGCCTGATGCAGGGCTCGATCCCAGGACCCTGAGATCATGACCTGAGCTGAAAGCAGAGGCTTAACCCACTGAGCCACCCAGATGCCCCTCACATTTAGGTCTTTAATCCATTTTGAATTTATTCATCTGTAATGCCCCTCACATTTAGGTCTTTAATCCATTTTGAATTTATTCATCTGTATAGTATAAGAAATTGGTCCAGTTTCATTCTGTTGCATTACCTGACCAGTTTTTCCAATACCATTTGGTGAGGATGGTCTTTTTCCTGTTGTATATTCTTTCCTGCTTTGTCAAAGATTCATTGACCATTAAACCGTGGGTTCATTTCTGGGTTTTCTCTTTTGTTCCGTGGATTTGTGTGCCTATTTTTGTGCCAGTACCATACTGTTTTGATTACTACAGCTTTGTAATATAACTTGAAGTCTGGTTGTGTGGGGGTTCCCCCCCCCCATGTAACACTTGACAGACCAGTGATTGGATAGGTTGTGTTGGAGGTTTCTAGGCCCCCCACAAGAGACAAATAGACAAAGATACTTCAGGGTGCTAGCAAAAAAAAAGTTTATAAAGTGATTCTGTGTGGACATGGAGCTCTTTAATGAAGGGTGTAAAATCTGTGCTTAACATCACCGATCATCAGGAAAATGCAAATCCAAACTACAAGGAAATAATCACTCATACCTGTCACAATGGCTAAAATCTAAAACAAGAAATAACAGGTGTTGGCAAGGAAGTGGAGAGAAAGGAACCTTCTCATGCACTATTGGGGGGAATAAAACTGGTGTAGCCACTGTGGAAAACAGTATGGAGGTTCCTCACAAAGTTAAAAATAGAACTGCCCTAGGATCCAGCACTACTGGGTATTTACCCCAAAAATACAAAAACAGTAAGTTTTTATTGTTTATGTTTATTATGTAACATGTGTGTATTACAGCATTGTTTATAATAGCCAAACTATAGAAGCAGCCCAGATGCTCACTGACAGATGACTAGATAAAGATGTGGTGTATATATATACAGTGAAATATTACTCAACCATAAAAAAGGAATGAAATCTTGCCATTTGCAGTGACATGGATGGAGCTAGAGAGTATAATTCTAAGTGAAATAAGAGAAAGAAAAGTATCATATGATTTCACTTGTGTGGAATTTTAGAAACTAAACGAACAAGCAGTGGGGGAAAAAGAGAGAGAGGGAAAGTTAAAACAAAAAACAGACCTTTACTATTTAAACCAAGAAACAGACCTTAAACTATAGAGAACAAGCTGATGGTTACCAGAGGGAAAGTGGGTGGGGGGATGGGTGAAATAGGTGATGAGAAATAAAGAGTACACTTACCATGTTGATTAAAAAAAGGATCAAAAATAAAAAAATAAAATGATTCCCTGTGGATGTGAAGCTCTGTAATGATGGAAGATCTAGATGAGGTCAACAAACACAGAAGACAAGGAGAAGTTAAGGCATTAGAGATGGTAACAAGGTTGGACAGGAGGTATATTAGAAGTAAGGAAGCCAGAAAGCCAAAAGAAAAACTTACTGTGGTTAAATGTGGTGATGCTTTTGGAATTTTAAATTTCACAGGTAGGGTATTTTTGAGTGATGACATAGTTCAAACTAAAAGGTACATTGCTGTAAGGATTTAATATTTAAATACTACCTATGTGCTATATATGAGGGAAAATATCTTATATAAACATTAAGCAACTGAAATATAGTTGAAGGCCGGAGTCATTGATTGTGAAGCTCACAAAACAGGCTAGGGAATTTTTAAGGTCTTGGATGATGGGTTTGAATAGAAAGAACATGGTTAAAGTTATCAGTGAATATAGAGTAGAGGCCAAAAGTCATTATCGTGTGAGGAAGGTGATATGAACCTCAGGAGGAGGCATTTATTACATTGCATTAGAATCAAAGCATACATTATGATCTCAGTAAAAGTCTTTTATTTTTAAAAAAAGGTCACAGCCTAGAAATTGCCCAGAATGCTAAGAGAAAGTGAATACTGCCTCCTAGTTTTATGATGGAACAGAATGAGGGAATGAGTTACTATCCATTCAGAGAATTACAGAGCAGTGACTGCCACCCATGGTTGTGCATCTTGCAGAGAGAGTGAAATCTAGTGTATAGTCCGTTTGTTTAACTGAATCATTGAGCTTTGTTTTCCCAGGTGAAGGAGTGCCATAAAAATACTAGCCCTACCCAAGGGCTCCCATGGGATCTCCTTCTAATCAAGGGTTTGTCTCTTTCTCATTTCACATAGTTACCAGTTATAATTCCTTTAAGGCTTTAGCAGTCACCTCAGTGTGAAGACAGATTTCAGTTAAGACTGATAGCTTATGGGAATTCTTTAAGTAGATAGTGTAGTAGGGTCTAATGACATGGCATTAAATTCAGAAAAGGCACAATGTAAGGGAGGATCACTATTGGATATATAATTAAGGAGAAAAGGCAGAAAAGAGAAGAGAGGACTAAAAAAGGCCAGTATATGCCCTCAATTGGAGAACACTGGGGCCCCTGGGTGTCTCAGTCAGTTAAGTGTCTGCCTTCAGCTCAGGTCATGATCCCAGGGTCCTAGGATCCAGCCCTGCATCAGGCTACCTGCTCAGCAGGAAGCCTGCTTCTTCTTCTCCCTCTGCCTTCTCTTCCCCCTGCTTGTGCTGTCTCTGTGAAATAAACAAAATTTTTAAAAAATTGTAGAATATTAATTGAATCATACTAGATTACTTTAAAAACCAGCCTTGGCCCATTGTATCTTAACATCTGACATATTAAAAAACCTAACCAAGCATTAAAATTTAAATTCTTTTACGTGTTTTTTTTTGTTATGTGCAAATTAAAAATATTGAGTTAGTATATTATTATTTATAAATCAGTAAGATTATGTTAAAGAAATTGTGTCCCTATAGTTTTGCTTGAAGTATGTTATTTCTTGACTTTGACATTTCAGGAAAAAAATAAAAATAGTGATAAAGGAACTGAACCAGAAACACAAAAAGAAAAAAATACCCAAGAACAAAATTCATCAGGTCCAAATGAAGAAAAATCCAAAGCTCATAAAAAATCAAACCCATATGGAGAATGGCAAGAAATTAAACAACAAGTTGAATCTCAGTAAGTACCTAAAACTTAATCCCACTGTTACTACAAATTGTATTTTCTATCTCAGTACTTCCATATGTTGCAGTAACTAATTTCAAGGATAAGGTGCTCATTAAAGGTGTGGCTCATTTCTTTTATTTCTAGAATGATTTTATCTCTTCTAATTCAGTATTTTAGAGTATTTGAAACTATAAAGTAGTGGTTATTTTAAAAAGTAAGTTAATGAGGGTTTTTTTGGTAGGAGAGATGCTGTTTGTTTATTTTAGTTGCAGTATAGTTTACAGTGTTATATTTGTTTCATGTTTATAATATAGTGATTCAGCAATTCTGTATGTTACTTAGTGCAACCTCTAATGATCTCTCTAATTCCTACCCAAATAAAACATTTCTTTTGACAACATATTCACATGCTAACTCACACCATGTACACATGTGCGTTCTCACACTCAGCATGGTTATTCTGTTGGACAAACAAATATCTGCATATTCAATAGAGGCTTCATAGTATATGTCTAAAAGTAAGAAAAAAGCTTTTATTTTGTTACCGTCTTAAAAATGTTTTACGACACTTCACTGAAGTTTTAAAGCCAGTATTCAAACGTGCCTGGTTAAGTGTCTGCCCTCAGCTCAAGTCATGATCCCAGGGTCCTGGGATCACGCCCCAAGCCCGGTGTTGGGCTCCCTATTTATCAGGCAATCTGCTTCTCCTTCTGCCTCTGCCCCTTCTCCCACTCTTGCCCTTTCTCTCTCTCTCTCTTCCTCTCTCATAAATAAATGGAGTTTTTAAAAAAACAAAGCCAGTAGTCAAGAAACAGAAGAATTTTATCAATTAAACAAGATCATGGTAGGGATGTTACCTGATTTATATTATTAGATTACATGTTTAAATTAGTTATTACCTTTGGAGCATTTACACAGTAAAAGGAAGAAGTGATTCCCAGCTCCACAAATTATTGTTTCTTAAATGTTAAAATAAATCTTCAGGGAGGAAAGAAGTACATGAGTTACCAGTTTTTCTCCAAAAACATTAATGCTTTGAATTTGTAATGTAAAATGACTACTTTGTGGATACTTCTACAGTGAAATTATTTACTCTTAAAACTGTACATTAATGAAAATATCATATTTTTTCATAAGATAGAATAATGCAGGGTTTGGCCAGCTTTATACTGACAGTCTCCAATTTCTAATGGTTTGACGTGGGATTTTTTTGACTTTAAGATGATGGAAAAGCAATATGCATTCAGTAGAAACTATACTTCAGATTTTGAATTTTGATCTTTTCCCCTGCCTAGTGATACACTCCTATACATTTCTCTCTCATACACTCTCAGGCAGCAGTGTGACCATGAGGGTAAACAGCCAGTATACTTCAAACCATTTTGTTTTTCACTGTCAGTATACTATTCAATAAATTACAGGAGATAGTATTTTATATAAATATAAAATAGGCTTTGTATCAGATGATTTTGCCCAGTGTAGCCTAATATACATGTTCTCAGCTTATTGAAGGTAGGCTAGGCTAAGTTATGATGTTAAATAGGTTAAGTGTACTAAATGCATTTTTAACTTAGGATATTTTCAATTTATAGTGTGTTTATTCGGGCATAACCCCATTCTAAGTAAGGAAAGATCTATATGCTGTTCTAATAAGAATTAATTCTCCAGGGATAACATACCATAGGATAGATTAAAACTGCTGTCAGAATGTTACCATCATTATGATAGTTTAGGTTGTGTTTGTTACTTAATGTAGTACTAGAAAAAATGCACTTAGTGCAGCAGATTGCCAGGCATCATGATAAGCCATGCTGACTATGTATACTGAATTTGCAGATATAATAGGCTGCATTACTAAGAGATTTTTTTTAAGCGATTTACAGTAGGAAAATGGCCCTACTATACCAACATCACCTATACTTAAAGCTAAGATTTCTTAAAATTCAGTTATTTTGTTTTCTATGTGATAAATATACTATAAAACCATTCTTGTTAAATTTTGTCCTGGTCAACTAGTTTCACATGTGATGGATTATGTCTGACTTCCTAAGTAGAGAAACCTAATTTTTAAAAGGTTCCCCCCTAAAAATAACCAATATATTTTTATTATAGAAAATTTTTGGAATTGCAGAAAAACATAAGAATAACTCAGTTACCAAGAGATAAGAGTAACATTTTTAAATATTTTCCCCAGTTTTTATCTTTTTCCTATTTAGCATTATGTTAATATTTTTGTACTTTATTAAAATTTTGTGTTATTTTTAATTGCTATGTAATATTTAATCGTTTAGATGTACTTTGATTTTACTCAGCCATTCTCTTGCTGTTGGGCAGTTAGGTTATTTCTGCACTTTTGGATTTTATAACATTTTGACTATTACATTGATATATCACTCTGTAACCATTTCTGATTATTTCTAGAAATGGAATACCTGTTTAATGGTTATGAACATATTGAAAATCTTGATACACAGTGCCCAATTACTTTCCAAAAAGAGCATACCAATCTCCCATCAGCAGTTTCTGAAAGTTTCTGTCCCTTTGGACCTTCTCAGCAATAATTATTCCTGAGCTTTTAAATATTTTCTTTTTTAAAAAATTTCTTATTTGAATTCTGTTTAATTAACACAGTGTATTATCAGTTTCAGAAGTAGAATTTAGTGATTCATCAGGTGCATATAATATTTTCTAATTCAGCAAAAAAATCTTTAGTTTTCTTTTATTTACTGGGTTTTTTTTTCATATATTTATCAGTGTTTTGTATTTATTCTTCTGTAAATTGTCAATAGTCTTTGCAAGTTTTTCTGTTGAACTATTAGTCTTTTCCTTATTTCCACAAGCTCCTTTTGTAGTACAGATGCAAACCATTGTTTAGTTGTATTTATGGTGGACTTTCCACATTTTAGTTTGATTTTTAACTGTGCTTATGATGGTTTTTGATGTGCACAATTTTGTCAGGCTTAACTAGTCCAACTTTTTTTCTTTTGTGATCTGTTACCTTATTGATATAATTTCCATCCAAAAGTCAAATATATACTTGTATTTCCTTCTGATTTATATGGTCTGTCTTCTTTTTCACATAACTATTTAATCCATCCCTAATTATTTTGATGCATCATATGAGATGAGATTTTTAAGATTTTAATCTCAGGTTTAATTCTTGAATTTGCCAGTTTGTTTCTAGCTAACTATTCTTTTTTTTTTTTTTTTAAGATTTTATTTATTTATTTAGGCAGAGAGAGCAGGGGTTGGGGGGGAGCAGGCTCCCCACTGAGAGAGAGCCCGATGTGGGGCTTGATCCCAGGACCCTGAGACCATGACCTGAGCCAAAGGCAGAGGATTAACCCACTGAGCCACACAGGCGCCGCTCTAGCTAACTATTCTGTTCCATTATTAGCCTATCTGTTTTTGTGACAGTACTGTAAAGACTTAATTATTATGATTTAATTATACACTTTTATATGATAATGTTTGACTCTCTGGTGGTATATCCTGGCTTTTGTTTGTTTGTTTCAAATTTTCTTAAGTAGTTCCTTTCTGTTTGTTTTTCTTTTCATTTTTTTCCCCAGGTAAATTAAATGACTTTGCAAGTATTTAACAACTATAATGTGATTTTAATCAAAATGATTGAAATTCTGTTTTAGTTGTTGAATTTGGTAAAAATTGATGTTTTCAGTATTTCATATTTTCATCCAAAAATGTTATCTCTCTTTTTATTCAAGTCATCATGTATGATTCTCTACACAACCTTTGTAACTGCCTCTCTGTTAAGTTTCATACTTGCATTTCCTGAATATAGGCAACTTAATCTAGTTGGTTCACTTCTGTACCCCAAAATTAAAAACAGTACCTGGCACATAATAAGTGCTTAGTAAATTTAATTACACATATTTTTACATGATTTGCTTCTTTTAAATTGTGAATTAAATCCATGTTTTCTACTATTTCTTTAACCAGGAGTTATGGTCTCAAAAAGTTTGAATCAAGTTGTATTGCTGAATTATTGTATTATTTATAAAATATATTATTTTGAGTCTTGGGTTTTTCTTTCTTTTTTTTTTTAAGTTTATTTTTTATTTTTTTAAAGATTTTATCTATGTACTTGATAGAGATCACAAGCAGGCAAAGAGGCAGGCAGAGAGAGAAGGGGGAAGCAGGCTCCCCGCTGAGTAGAGAGCCCTATGCGGGGCTCGATCACAGGACCCTGAGATCATGACCCGAGCCGAAGGCAGAGGCTTAACCCACTGGGCCACCTAGGCACCCCAAGTCTTGGGTTTTTCATGCAGAAATTTGCAGATATTTTGTGGTCTTTTTTCTGTTGATTTTATTTCCTGTTTATTTCATTTTCTGTTTATTTTAGTTAGATTTTCATACCCGATGGTTTAGTGATGAGAGTGGGTGTGTATGTTTTGTTTATGATTTGAGTGCAAATGTCTCTAAAATTTATATTAAGGATTATATTCACTATTGGCTTAAGATAGGTAATCCTTATTATGTTGAAGAAGCATACTTTAGATTTTTCAAGGGTTCTTATCAAAAAAAATTGGGTAAATTTCAATAATGATAGCTTTGATGTGGAAAACATTGGGAAATGGTGGTCTATAGTTTAGTTTTGCTTTTGTTTGTTAAATATCTTTATCAGATTTTTGTATCCAATTTTTTGGATACAAAATATCTGTATCAGATTTTCGTATCCAATTTATGCTAAATAAAGTGAATTAGGTAGTTTTCCATTTCTTTTTTTTTTTTTTTAAGATTTTATTTATTTATTTGACAGACAGAGATCACAAGCAGGCAGAGAGAGAAAGGGAGGAGGAAGCAGGCTTCCCGCTGAGCAGAGAGCCGGATGTGGGGCTTGAGCCCAGGACCCTGGGATCATGACCTGAGCCGAAGGCAGAGGCTTTAACCCACTGAGCCACCCAGGCACCTCTAATTTTCCATTTCTTTTTATGGTTTTCTTCCCCCTGTAACTTTCTAGTAACTTCTTTTTCCAGAAACTTCCCCTTCTTTAG